ACTTTTTTAATTAAACGTTATTTCCTTATCTTTAATTGTGTTGATAAACTTTTGTTTACAAATTGATAATTTTCAAACAAATTGATGCGCATAAGTTGTGAATTTATTTTGCAAATATCCATCAACATCATATTGCTTGATTGCTAAACATACAAATTTCCCTAAATTTACAGTCATAGATATAATAAATAAGTTTAAGACTACTCAAAGCTTCGAAAGAAAACTTGGAGATGGAAGAAAGAAAAATTTCCATAAATCCAAACAGGTAAAGTCGATTTTACATTTAATAGCAAGAAATCCAAACCAGCCACAGCAAGATCTAGCAAGAAAATTAAAGATTTTACGTTCTTATATCAAAAAATGACTTAAAAACAATCGAATTAAAGCATTTCAAAAAAAAAAAAATACATCTTAGAGAAGCTTAAATGGTGAAATTAAAAGAATTCAACGCGCAAAGAAGTTGGTTAAAATAATGGCGGATAAAAGTATGTGTATAATTGAAGACAACGAAACATATTGCAAAGCAGATTTTTCACAATTTCCCAGTCAACTATTTTACTATAAGAACAAAGATAAACCTGTTGATGATCAATTTAAATATATTCGACAAGAAAAATTTGCATCCAAGTTCATTGTGTAGCAAGGAATTTGTAGCTGTGGTATGCAGTCTTCTTGTTTTGTCACTAAGAAGACCTTGAATGCCAATCTTTAAATCAAAGAATGAAAAAATAAAGTTTGTAGAGCTAGATAACGATTGACAGATGACAATGCAGAAAAACATTGACAGATTGGCAGACTTTCTATTTTTAGAAAAGAGAAAGAGAAGTAACATTATAACAAAGTCATAATGGTTGTAGGTTGGCTGCAAGTGCAGGTCCAACTATGTTTACAATGTGATTTTGCACCTTGTCTATAAGAGAAAGGGCATCATTAGAAGATCCACCCTAGATATGGCAACAGAATTCCATACAAGGGCAGATATAATATTTATAGAGATAAAGAATAGAATTCGAAGGAAAAAATAAAGAGATGCAGCTTTAACCGATGCTAATTTTGCAATGGATTTGATATAAAGTTTCCAAGAACGATCAGAAATAAGAGTTAATCCTAGAAGATGAAGGATAGATGACTCATCAAGTACATTACAGCTTTATAGGAAGATCTAAATTACTGTGATAACGATTGGCTGAAAAGAATTGGACTTTATCTGAATTAAAAATCACTAACCACTGTGAGTCCCATGCTGTAGCAGTGAGATCCTTTGCAAGCTCGAATGCCCCTTCCAAGCAATCAGAAAGTGTTAGCTTCTTATCATGACAAGAATAATTGGTAGTATCATCAGCAAATAATGTCACCTCAGATGTAAGAATTTCTGGGAGATCCTTAATGTAAATTAAAAAAAGAATAGAGCCATGGATAGAACCTTGAGGAACCCCTGAAGTTACAGGATATGAAGAAGAGTGCTATCCATCAAAGACAACTTTTAATCTATGATCGGTAAGGAAGGATTCAATAATTATAAAAATGTGACCTGACACATCATAAAAAGAAAGTTTATGGAGAAGACCAGCATGCCAAACTTTTCAAATGTTTTAGAAATGTCAAAAGACATTGCCTTTACCTCTACAAATTTATCTAACACTTGATAAATCTTATCGGTTATTACTGTTAACAAATCAGCAGAACAATGAAAAGATCAAAAACCATATTGATGATAAAAAAGTAAGTTAACATATTCACAAGGAGAAATTAGGTATTGGGTAATTAAAGCTTATATGCTTATAATAGGAAGAAGACTAATGGGATGGTAGTTAGACAAATCAGATTGCTCTCCAGAGTTTTTGAAAATAGGGATAACAGATGCCATTTTCCAGTAGGCTAAAAAACAAGACTCTGATAAGCAATTGTTAAATAGTTTTGAAAGAATAGATGACAGCTCCGAGAACACTTCTGCAAGACTATAACAGGTATGTTGTCCAGACCACAATATGTAGAAGAGTCTAAGCAGGAAATCTCATTAGATAAAGAAACTGGAGTGATACAAATGTCAAGCAATGGATCAAGCTGTTTGACAACTTACTCAGGTAGATCGCAACTAGTTTAATCAAGAGCTGATATTGATGAAAAGTTCTTAGCAAATAAATCAGCTTTGTCTTAAGGTGAGGTTATTTTACTAGAAATCTTTTTACATTGGTTTCTAGCAATAATAGACAGATATCTGTTTTCTGAAGAATTGTTTTGCTGATAGATATGGAAGTAATGGTTTTATTTGGATATTTTATGCAGCATAATGTGAGGAAAACCATGGAGAAGAGTGAGGCTTGACCTAGAATCGTAGAGAGGGAATAAAAGATCCTATGCCAGCCTGAATCCATCAGATGTTATGTAAGAAGCACATTTATCAACAGGAAGACAAAAGATTTCTACCCATCATAAGTGCCATAATGAAGATAATCAATCACAGAAGGAGTTCCAGTCGGCTTTAAGGTTATTGTAAGAGGTACAATAATAGGGGGATTCTAATGATGAAGAAGAACAAAATAGAGAGATTTTTTTTTAGAGAGATTAAACTGTGATCAGAAGGCCTATGCCAAGCATGTGACTGTTAGAGTCTTCTCGAATTAAATTAAGATAACAATCAACACTAAGATCACAAGATGAGACAGCTGAACTCAAATTAGTCTGACAAAGAGCAAGTAGGTCTGGTGAGCTTTGCAAGAGATAAGACTCAACAGAAAAAAAGTTACTTCGAAGACCATGAATATTAATGAATGATAGGTTTAGCGAACTTGGTTATGACAATAGTTTCTTGTGTTTTATAGTTTTTGGCACTTGAGTCATTTTTTAAATTGACTAAAGAACTTGACACAAAGCACAGATTGTACTTAACACTACCTAACAGTCCAAGCAATTGCCTCATTTCTATGAATAAACCTTAAGCCGTAATAAAGACTCCAAATGTAACCTCAAAAATACACACCAAAAGTACAAACAGCAGTGACGTATCCAGGAATAATTTGGGCATACCGGTCTAAAAATCGTGTCTACCTTAGAGGACCTTTTTTTTTTTTTTTTTACTTAAATTTAAATACAATTATTTGTGTATAGTATTTAACTCACCCTTGTCTTTTAGATTTTTTCTAACAAAAATTTAAATAATTAACCAAAATAATGTTACATTTATTACAGAACAACGGCTTTAACTCCAACATCAATTCATTGCTAATCGCTACTTTTCATTTACTTGCTCCATACACTTACTATTTATAAATTAATACTAATTATCAAACTATTAAATTCAAAATAAATATTATTAACTAGAAATAAAAAGAGTATGATTTCATAAACAAGCAATAACTATAACGTTTATTAAACAATATTTGTATGACTCTTTGTCATAAAAAACAATATTTGTATGACTCTTTGTCATACAAATATTGTTTTTTATGACATATCAATATTTGTATGACTCTTTGTCATATAAACTTCATAAGATTTATTACATAGTGTATTTAAAACAAGGTAAATTCATTCGAAATTTTAATTCATTCAAAAATTCATAACTTTTTTTACTAGTTCTACTCTTACTATTTAAATCAAGTTTTTTGGCGCGAATATTAAAATGTTATTTTAATTATTTAAATAAATTTTATTTTAATTTTATGTTTTAAAAACTTTCATTCGTTTTATTATTTAAATTATTTTTAACACAATTTTTACTGTTATTTGAAATGAAAAAGTTTAAAGCTCATCTAGTTTAAGCGCTTCGAAAATTATGCTATGAAAACGTAAGTGGGGGAGAAACTCATATTAATGTATTTTTAAAATGTTATTTAAAAATACTAAGCATTTCATATTTTAATCCAATCAAAACGTGCGTTTTACATTTAATCCAATTACAACATATTCTATATTTCATCAACGTGAATTCGAATTAAGCATTTTGGTTGGCTTAAAATACATTTATAATGTATTTTATGTTTTAAAATACATTTTACTTTTAAAATACATTTATAATGTATTTTAAATGCAACTTTTAAAATACATTTATAATGTACTTTAAAAGTCGTTTTTCAAATGTTGGTATTTATGTAATTGTAACAAATGCTAATATAAAACTGTTTTAAATTGAGTTTGGGCTGAAATTTGGGGGCCCATACCGGTATACCGGTATCAAAATCGGCCTGGATATGCCGCTGAACAGGGACATCATCCATGGGCAACATAGCACTGTTAGTACTCTAATATTCTACAGTTGTTGATAGAATTGGTCTTTCTGAGAGCTACGACAGAGTTCAGGAAATCTGACTACCAACCGGCCTCAGAACCATAAAACTGAGTTTTAGAGCTATACCCTCATTAGAAGACAATAGAATGAGTTGCCTAGTCATAAAAATAGAGACACAAGCAAAACCAATGCATTGAATCAAGAAGATCTAGCATTCAATATCATAAACTGGAAACAATGTATCAAAAATATATCTGCAACTGAATGGCGTAGATGAATTTCTGATACATTGCACAAAATTTGTGATAAAAAATCGCTCTGTGGAATATGAGATAACATTTGATAACTTTGCATAAAAATCAAAAAGATTTTGATAATTCTTACTAGAGAATATATTCTTTAATTGTCGAGCCATGTAAACTGGTAAATTTTATTATTATTATTTTTTTTGGTAATTCACCTCCCCAAGGCCAAAAAGGCCACTACAGATGAGGAGACTACTTGTGGTTATAACCCTCTCTCAACTCTATAACTGCGAAACACAAACCTTGACAAACAAGGCCACTGTGCGAAGAAACAAGTTGAGCGCGGTACTACCAGGAACATTGTGGGAATGGAACTCAGAACCTCTCGTTTATGAAGCGAGCGCTCTACCACTACACCGCTACCACATATATATATATATATATATATATATAAAACATTAAAGAAATCTTGGTATATTTGTCACAAAAACAATTTAAATTATTTTTTTTTAATAAAAAATACTTACTTGTACATAATCAAGCAGCGAACCAGCAAAAACTGTACCAAACCCAGCAACAATAAATGGGAAAAAAATTTGAAGAGCTATCAAAAGACTTGTTTCCTTTGAACTCGATTGATCATTATTATCGTTATTTTGCAACTGAGTTTTTTGAGAAATATTTGTTTCATTATATTTAACTTCAGGAATTTTATCTGCAGAATTTTGTTCATGACAAGTGTAACTTGCAACATTTTCTAGTGATTTTGTCAGAAGAGGTTTTTCATTATCAGAAATACTATTTTCATCATCGTCATCATTTTTATGATGGTGGTTGTTATTCACCTGATCATGCATATAACTAAAAAAGGTTAAGTTTAAAAAAATACTTGTTCATCAATCATTATCATGATCATCATTTTTTGGTTTATACCAATATTTAATAGAAACTTCAAAAACACAATGATAAAAAAAGGTAAAATAATAATAATAAAAAAAATTGTACACAGAAGTAAAAATAAATTTACGTTAAAGATTTTTTACAACAAAAAATTCCTAATTTATTTCAGATCTATTTGACAAACATGTTTCATTACATAGTCAAGCTAAATTTAATTCTTTTTTACACTCTCTGCATTTATAACATTTTTTGGTCCTTGTTAATATGCTATTCTTCATCATGAGTGTGTTTTCAGCTTTAATTGACTGTCAGTTGCTGTTATTTTAGTTAAATAAAATTTGTATATTGAAAACCAACAACAGCATGCTAATATAAAAAATATTTTAAGTTATTAGTTATGTCAGTGAGGGGTTTTACTAGAAACAAGCTTTTACTTTTTTTGTCTAATTTTAAACAATGAGTAGACTAGTGGAAAAACACTAGGCTCACAATCTAGTGTTTCAAGGTTATACTTCTGTAAGTACTGCACTTAGTCTCTTCTTCATGCCGTGATCTGGTCTAACAAGGCTTGTTTAATCTAGTTTGTAACCAGACATCATAAACTTAGATATATATATATATATATTCTGAAATAGTTGTCACATTCATGGAAGTTTACAAATAGTACATGTACTAATCTTAAGTAAAAACCTTGCAATAAAATCTAATAAACATATTGATTAATGCAAATAGTAATATTAATCATTCACAGCAGTAACAAAACAATCATTAAAAGTCGAAGGAGTAAAAATACTAATAATGATAATAATAAAAGTTGTAGTTGTAACAATAAAAACAATGCAATGATAAAAGTAAAATGATAATAATAAAAATAAAATGACGGAAATAAAAATAATTAAAATAATCATTAAAAAATAATAGTAATTAAGCATTAGTCACACACATACACACATATACAGACACATATACAGACACATACAAACACACATACACACTTACATTCACAAATACATATAAACACATACTTATATCCTCCTGTATTCAATACAGGTATGTAAACATTAATTGTATACAAACATAATATACACCCATATATGTAGATTCATATATACTATACACAAATATACGTATATACACACATGTATATATACATAAACACATACAAAAGCACATACATACACATATACAAACATAAATACATATACACACATTTAATAACATTACATATGTATATTATATATGTATATATATATATATATATATATATATATATATATATATATATATATATATATATATATATATATATATATATATATGTATATATATATATATATATATATATTAGGGCTGTTCATGTGAACACAGGAAAAAAATTTTTTTCTCGGATTTGAATGCATAGTTGTTTATTTTGTGCCATTTGACATAGTAATTGACTATGTAAAAAACCTTTCCAATCAGATAATGTTAAGGGGGTGCTCAATGACCATAAAGTTTTACGAAAAACATCAAAAACGTGGAAAAAGTTCCAAAGTTCCAAAAATTTCTAGAACCTGGTTAGTTAGATTTTTTCCACTGAAATATTGTCTGATTGCGTGCTATATAGATTAATTAAAGTGCAGCAGATTAACTGTCATCAGGGCACCAGACTAAAAAATGTCTGCTAGTGTTTAAAACAACTGTGTTTATATCATTTTGTTAAAATTTGTATTCATAATTTTAATACTATTATTTAACTCAATTTAAAATTTGTTCAAACAGAATAAAAAGGTTTACAAGTATAAATATTATTTTTATTTGGAATTTCAGTTTGACAACAAATGTATTAATATTTTGATAGTACCTAACCTTAGTAACCTATTACAGAAAACTAGCATGGTAGTCTGGTAGTGTATTGTTTGTTATTAAGTGCAGATAATAATAATTTCTAATTTGAAAATATTTATTTAATTTCTTTAGTAATAATTATTATTATATATTGCTGCAGCTGCATAAACCAACAACTGAATGATAAGTTTGTATAATATGGTATTGAGTTTTGATTTTCTCATAATTTTTCAGTTATCATTGAAATGGCAGCATCATCTCGTGTTGCTATCTCTACACGACTTCAAACCGAAATCTTTTTAATTGGACAACCAGAGCCAAATCTTCCAGATAAAGTTCTTCCCTTAACATCTGATGTTTTAAAAACATTTTTTTATCATCTTAATTCAACCAGAAAGTCAGTGCCTGAAAGTCTTAAAACAACTGTTGATGAACTGATTATTATTTGGAATAAAGCCCGTATTCCGACAGCATTTCATCCGAATGTAGTCTTAAAGTTGAAAACTTTAATCCAGGAATTTAAATTAATTAAAAAAAATAAATCCAGATTGTCAGATTCTCAGAAATCAAGAGAGAAATCATTTACAGACACCATTGGCCTACTTTTTGACATTGCCCACAAGGATGCTGAAACCATGATCAGAATTGAAGAAGATAAAGAATTTTTATTGGATCAGAGATGTCAGAGAAAAATGGTGATGTTTGGAGAGGACAAAGAACTTTCAAAATTAGAAGCAAGAAATGAAGCAAGGAAACAAGCAGAGAGAGAACGAAAGCTAAAAGAAGAGCAAAGACAATCTGGTGCAAGTGCAATAGTTCCTGTTATTGAACATTTACATGACGAAAGTTATAGTGATGACAACGATAACGATGCTGTTGATAATGACAAAATGGTTGATAGAGATTTTGAGATAGAAATCCCTGTTTATTACAGACAACAAGTCAGTAAAGCAAGTTCTTCAGGGTCAGCTGAATCAAGTTTAGTAAGTACTCCAAAACGACAATGTATCTTAGATACAATTCTTGACTCGCCTGATGTTTCATCAACATTAGACAGAATTAATCTATCTGACACAAAATTTACTATACTAGCAGCAGCAATTGCAAGGGCTGGTGGACAGAACCTCGATGATGGATCATTGTCACGTTCTACAGTCCGTAGAAAATGAACCTATCATCAATCAAACATTGAAGCCACTGTTCGAACTGAATTCTGCGATTTGGACAAACCACCATTAATCGTCCACTGGGATGGCAAACTGATGATAGATCGTACAAATTCTGCAGACCCTAAAGCAAATGTTGACCGGCTATCTGTAGGTGTGACAGGTCACAATGTTGACAAAATACTTGGAATAGCAAAACTATCAGCTGGAACTGGAGAAGCCCAAGCAAAAGCAGTTATTCATCTGCTTAATTTCTGGGACATAATTGGTGATGTTATTGGAGTGAGTTTTGATACTACAGCCTCTAACACTGGCTCCAAAAATGGTGCATGTGTAGTTCTAGAGAAACATATAGGTAGAAATTTGTTATATTTTGCTTGCAGACACCATGTTCATGAGATCATAGTAGCAGGAGTGTTTGGATCACTATTTGGACCATCATCTGGTCCCAACATACCTCTTTTCCAGAGATTTCAGCAATATTGGCCCAAAGTTAATCAAGGAAATTTTAAACCTCTGGATGACATTCGAATGAAAATACCCCTGGTGCAAGAACTACAAAATGAAGTGATGGCATTCCTCAAAGAAAACCTGCATGTTAAAATGCCAAGGGATGACTACAAAGAAATCATGGATCTCTGTCTGTTAATACTTGAAAAACTACCTGATCAAGAAGAGAAAAATTATCATTTCAAGATCCCTGGTGCTTATCACATGGCTCGCTGGATGGCCAAGGTTATTTATTGTTTTAAGATTTATTTATTTCTTGAAGAGTTCAAGTTGACCACAAAAGAGGAAAAAAATCTCTGTGAATTTTGCTAATTTGTTAGTCTGGTTTATGTAAAATCTTGGATATCATGCCCAAATGCCAGCGATGCTCCAGTTAATGACTTGTTTCTGTTTCAGCAACTTAAGCAGTTTGCAGTTGTGAATAAAACGATTTCCGAAGCAGCAGTCAAGAAATTTCAAAACCATTTGTGGTACCTTTCACCAGAATTGGTCCCACTAGCTTTGTTTTCAAACAAACTTAAAACGGAAGAGAAGCGAAAAATGATTTCCAACATGAAATTTCACGGTGAGAACTGGTCTGAAAGGTTGATCAAATTAAAGAACATTGAAAGTCTAGAGAAGAAATCTCTGGACATGCTGGTGACATCAGTTTCAGCAAGTGCGTTGCGGTCAATGAAGGTTGATATTGATTTTCTGTTCAACAACGATCCAGCTACCTGAAATGATTCCCCAGAATACCAAGAAGGAAAAAATTTAGTATATTCATTGAAAGTAGTAAATGATGCTGCCGAACGATCTGTGGCTTTAATGTCGATGTTTAATGAATCGATTACAAGGAATGAATCTGAAATGCAGAGGTTAATTCAGGTGGTTGAGGATCACAGAAAGCGAGTGCCAGATGCCAGAAAGTGTACTCTGAAGAGTTATAGTCCTCGCTAGCATTAACATTGCACGAACTATAACATTACGATAATTAAATGTTAATTGCTCATATGTTTTTGAGTTGACCTACTTAGTAGTTGATAACGGTTTGAGAAACTGTTACTCCTTTACAATAATTTTTTTTGTTTATAATTCGTATTTTAATCAATGACAAAGAGTCAAAAATCTTAGTGTTTTATTTTGGAAAAATTCTGATATAACAAAAACCGCAGAACTTTAGTCGTATTGCAGTATTTTATTTCATTAATTTCTCTGCTAATAAACCAGTATAAAGTGGATGTGGATTGTAATTTGTATTCAGAATTTAATATTTAGAGATAATTAAAACTGATCAAATCTGAAAAATCTAATTAACCGGGTTTTAGAAATTTGTGGAACTTTGTTACTTTTTCCATGTTTTTCACATTTTTCGTAAAACTTTATGGTCATTGAGCACCCCCTAAACATTATCTGATCGGAAAGATTTTTTGCACAGTTAATTAATATGTCAAATGGCACAAAATAAACAACTATGCA